TTAATTCGGTTCGCAAGGACTCAAACCCGATAACTACCCGCAAGAGTCTTTGTACAAAAGCCAACCAATCTGATTAAGGAACACGAGGGATAATCACAGTCCATATTACGAACATCGAGCTAGACTATACCCAAAAGCTGGCTCGTTCAGTTGATCTTACTCATCGTGTGTGCCAACGCCCTGTCCCATCAACAATCTCGTGGGTCTTCCATCAAGCACGAAGGGTTCGCCCACCATCCTCGCTGCATAATTTGCTTTCTTCCCTTGTCTGTTTCAGATAGACAAGACTAAATCATAGTGTTGTACTAGGAATAGTCAATATTCGCCATCCGACTCCTCGCAAGCAAACTGTACCATAACAGACGGATACTTGTGAACTCTGTTACCGACACACGCTACACAATGGCAGAAGATGTTTCTAGTTCTGGTGGTCGATTGCTGGTTGAGTGTCTCGCCCTTTACTTCCGGCACGTCCAGGACGCATCGACACCTTCTCCGATCGATATACTAGACAAAGAACTTTCACCGGAGTATCAAGCCTCGCTGCACTTTGAATTCGGTGATGTAGCAGATGGGACAGGATCATTATCTCATGTGGTGCACGTTCTGATCGTATTTGGCCGGAGGCGTGCGTCACTTTGAAAAGCAATCCTGTCCAAGTTGGTTGCCGACGTCTGAGATAAAGTATCCAGGTACAGAGAGAGACCAAGTATCCAGGTACAGATCCATTTATCGAAAGGGAGTGATAAAATACCGGCCAATTAGGAATTTCGAAAGGTCCCCACACATCGCTCCAGGTTCTAAGATCCCTTGACCTTTGTTATATCCTGCCAGGGTAATTAATATTGCTTGCGCTCCTCCACCCACATTCAGGTCAAGGCATAGCTTTAACCTTGTTATTGTCATGCATAAGATAACAGATTAATGGAATACTGCAATCTTGGCTCCTGGAGGATTTATTTGTGGATCGAGTCCTGAAAGGCTTTTGTTCCAGCTCAATGCGAGATTACACGTTTTCATACACGAGGGATATGTGCAGACGCTATTGTTCTCAGTGACCTCCGGAAGTATCCTTTGCGCTCGGGTGAATTCACGAACTGCAACTGAAGTCAATAAGATGGTTAAGGCCTGGTGTTTCCATCCAGGCGTATCCTGTTGCCCTGTGGTGAGCTGATACGCCCGTACTGTTACGCCATCCAAGCATACAATGCGGGATGACTCTTCACCCAGGAAATCATCCACGTAAAAACTGGTCGTCTTTCGCCAATTCAAAACCCACCGACGTCCTCTCGATGCCCCACCGTAACCTCAATCTTTCTAATTTCTAACCCTATTGCATTAAAAATATCAAAAACATTCTCGCGCAAAAGTCAAAAATAGTCCCTTATTGCATATCAAAAATATTCCCGCGCGCCCAATAAACACTGTGAAAATCGGCAAACTGAAAACCGAATGAAAATATAAACACAATTATGTTCAAGAAGTTTCCGGCAAGTTGCATTTTCGCTCTGATGTGCAGTGATATCCATTATCGGGTGTAATGGAGTAACGAGAATATTCGTAATTACGTTAGAGACCATCAGCGGTTCGGAGGACTGCAGGGAAGATCGATGGGCGTCCAGGTCGCTTTCTTCAATTTTCAAGCCGCGTTCAAAGCTTCCAGCTGTGCCAATGAATAACTTGCTTCCTCTCTTCTCTTTTTGCCTCAGTGATCTTCTTTCCAATCATCGGAGATCGAAGTCTCCCACGTGAATACTGCAAACTGCGGATCGAAGCTGAGCGGGTTTCTTCACTTCCTTGTTCGCCTTTCACGGAAATTCGCGCACGAGTTCGACTTGTGTTACCAGCACCAACCTCAAAACATACATCATTAATTAACTTAACGCATTCTGACGCACAAAGATCGAACAAGTGTCCAAACTTGGTACTACGTCCCAGGAACCTGCTGCCACTTTGGCGAACGAGTAGGCCCGATCATCAAAACAACTAGAAACCACGGTAGCCGAACGGCACCCGTCGCTGCCAATTACTCTGATTTCTATTTGCGCGTCTCAAACCTGTGAAATCGGCTGTGCAATTTTCCGCAAACAGTAAAAGGCTCTTTATGATTTCAGAAGTCTGAAGTTTGTTCATTAAGCGGGAAGAACCCTCTCCAAATTTCGAACTGCGGAATCTTCCTCAAAGTTTGTCAAGTTCGACAGCTCGCGGAGGAGACGATCCCCGGATCCCCGCTCCTTCCCTAAAGTAAACAAGGACAGTCAAGCTTGTCAAGCAGTGGCGAGTAAACAAACTCTTTTGACAAGGACCAGCGAAATACTGTACAGCTTGTACCAAAGTTAATATGCACCGGGTCTTCGTCTGTCCTCTCTACAACGAAGCTCTATCGAAAAAGTTCTTCTTCCACCAAAACATCGATATCGATTTCTGCCCACTTTGCCGATCTTCAAACTTCCTCGTGAAGTTGTTTTCTCCATTCAACACAGAAGACCACACTGAGACAAGAATTTTAACGCTCTTCCAGACAGAGTAGTTTCCAAGAACATCAGACATATAATATACTTCCATCTGGAAAACAAATAGACAAATTGATATTAAAAACAATCGAAATTGCTTCGTCAAATTTTAGCGCTGAAAAATGCAGAGTCAGAGTTAGGCGGAAAACTGAATGCTGATGGTGCAACGCAATTTATAACCTTGGCAATACCGTCAGACATTTTCTGAAGATACTCGGTAGACACCATTCTGTTCACCGGAAGGTATATCACATGGTCCATAAAAAACTTGGCTGTCTGGGGGAACGGAGACAGAAAGACTTTCTCTTGCTTTACAGCACCCTCTTCAGCCAACAGCGGAGTAGAGTCTTCGTCGAATACCGGTAACGTGCTAGCAGACGAGGAAAAGGTCTCAAACTCTGGTTGCACGACGTTGAGCTGCGACGCACCAATGTACGCATCGATGCCGATGCGATTCAACTCCAACGAAACCACTTTCGGATCTTCCTAAACCGATAGAAATCTCTTGAGTTCAAGGTCTCGCGAACTACAGCAAATAAAGCTGTGAAGAGAAGCCAAAGGATCATCGTGGAACCGCAACAGGAAAGTGAGCTCAACATAGGCACGCTCACGGTCCACAACTATTAACCGAGGCTCAAAGCAAACCCAAAGGAAACTCGGATTCGGTAAAACCCCTAATAAAATTTACGCTGTTGGACTCACCACAAGGACCGGAAACAGCCAGAAATTATTTGCCAACGCGCTCATCCCGAACTTTCCAACGCCGTCGGGCAGCTTGTCCCAAATGTACTGTCCATTTGCCGTGTACGTACCGGGAGGAACTTCCTCAACGGACCGCATCCTTCTGAGTAGGAGGGCTAAGAGGGCCATGGGAGGACGATGCCGTAGCCGTCTCAGCAAATCTGTCGGGAACCCTCTCAGCATATTAACCACCTTAGCTGTGGAAAAAAACGATGGTTAAGGAAGAATATCTCGGAATGTTACCGGACTATTCTAGAAAGAGCTGCACAACATACCCACATTTGTGGTCAATGTTCAGCCGATCGGTCAAAAGCATAGCTGGTTTGATGATCAAAGGTATGTTTAACAGGAGGAAAATAGCGGCGCATTTCAGTAGCTTCTGAAAATAAATCTCGCTCGACTGGATCGCATACGAGTCATGGAGTTCCTCCATCTTTTCCAGAGCAGACCTATCTCGAACTTTGGCAACACCACCTCCTAGCGCCGTGAAGAACTTGATGGGACCAAAACTGAATAAGGTAAGGTCGGAGTATGGATCACCCAGACGATCCAAACCGCAGAAGCCCTCTGCACAATCTTCGATCACTTTCAGATTGTGCTTCTGGGCTATCTGAATGACGGGCTTCACGTCGAACCACCTTCCAAAGAGATGAGCCGCAAGAACCGCGACGGTGCGACAGGTGATCAGGCTTTCAAGAAGATCGAGCTTTGGTCCCATTGTATGTAGGTCTAAGTCGCACGGAACAACCTACAACAGAAAGCAGCAACAGTAGCTGCATACTCAAGAACTATAACCACACGGCGTATGTACATTCAGGTACATGACAGAAAATGTACTGTTATCCTGATCAACTCGCGCGTGTCGTCATCGCGGCCTTGTACGAAAGCCGTTTTTCTTGGGGACGTCATGAAACATATATATGAGAAGCTAGGATTTACCTTTAGGCCATTCTCTCGTGCGATTTTCGCCATGTCAGGAATGTTAATTGCGGTGAAGATTATTTCTGAGCCAGGCGGGAATTCAGAAACACGCAGAAAGAGGTCGAAAGCAGTGCGAGCAGCCAAGCAAACAATGGTCGGATTCGGATTCTTTTCCGTGACAAACAGGTGGTGAAGATTTTGCAACAACTCTCGGCGTACATCTTCTTGCTCTGCTGATCGTATGCTTTCATGAAGCCCATGAAGGATATCAGTGAAGGAGCAGTCTATCAAGAAGCAAATAATATGATAGGACAGCAAGCGAAATCCCTTGCATTTCTTCTGGTTATCAGCTGCATTCTGGAAGATGAAGTTTGAGCATAAATTCAAATAATTTCTACCGAGGAAGACCGAAGTGTAAGGGATGATGTCCGCATATCTAACTGCCAACCCCATGATACTGTCCAGATGCCCCAGAAGCGGTCAGTTCAGTAGTAGCATCCACAGACAAATGTTCGCAGGAAGAAATCCGTTGTCAGCGACGAAATGTGCCAGGACCACGTTCAAATTCGCCAGTCCAGTTTTCATTGCTGCTGGATGAAAATTTCGTTCATTAGATCCTTCCGTAGCTCGTGCTAGCAACTGAGTGTACTTACCTCGACCTTGCCTACTTCATGGACGATGTCCGAGCTTCTAAGACGAGAAAAGAAAGCGCATCAAGCTCTGCAAAAGAAATGGAATCAAGAGTAATGTGACAAATCGAAGTCCCCAATCAAACAGGCTAGGTCAATCAACGGACATAACAGTTGTTTTCATGCAGTAAAAGGAAACCTGCAACACCCATCTAAGTACTGATCTAAGAAGCGGTCACCCATCTAAGTACTGACGGGACACGACGTAGCTTATCTTCCGAGATCGAACGGGATCGGGAGCATTCTACGTGGTGCAAATAGGGAAGTACATTCGAATTTTTACCCTTCGAAATTGATCTAGTTTTGTTCTATGCATTCACGCGGTAAGTTTTATTTTCTTTTGTGTTTGTGATGGGTCGCACCGTAGAGCACCGTAGAGCCCCGTAGGCTTGTCGTGTCTTCCGGATTCTGTCTCAGCGTGCGTCATACCCGAAATAGCTTGTTTTGACGTACCGTCAGTACCAATGAAATGTATTTGCAGAAGTACTGCTTCTACTGCTTGAACTTGACCGGGATGTATTTTAGAACCGGTTCTAAGAATAGCAGGCCAAGAACTGTTCCAACTTGTCGAGAAGAAGAAGATGGAAGTTCCGCCGCACGGTCGTCATAAAATCGCAACCCAAAATTGATATTTCTTCCACGATGAAATGCAATATCGTGTTCCTCTAAAAGGGGAACGATGGATCCCTCTTTCCTGAACTTATTAGTGGTGATCTTGTTGCAAATTATAGCGGCCAGTGGACAGACTTATTATGAGATTTTGGGTGTTCAGCCAAACGCTTCGCCATCAGAGATTAAACGAGCTTTCCATGTATTAGCAAAGAAGTACCATCCGGATAAGAACGAGGATGGAAAACAACAATTTATTCGTGTTCGCCAAGGTAAGATCACACGCCTAGCTAGACCATTACGCTCGTGACTTCTGGAAATGTCAATTTTCCGCCATTCAAATCTTTTTGTATACTGGTAGCGTACGAGATACTGGCGGACGTCAATCAAAGACAGCGGTATGACTCCAAGCTGAAGTTTGAGTCGCTGTTTAAATCGGATCAAGCAAACCGACGGACAACCCAGAAGCCCATCCGGAAGTCACCCTCATCCCCCCGTAGTCCCGCTCGCAACATGGAAGCGAGCGACCTCATGGCTACCGTTCTGGAGATGTTCACGCAAAGTTTGGCTCCACCTGCGCGATCCGGTCGGAATCCCAGAACGGCCCGAACGGTTCCGGCCGACAAAAAAGAAATATCTCTAATTTTTTCAATGTTAAACTACGGCTGGAAATACTTCACGGAATTGTCGAACCCAGAAAAACCGGACGAGCGAAAACATCAGCAAAGCCCCGCGAGTGGTGACGGGCAGGAACGACCTACGATGATGTCCAAACTGATCAATCTTTTTCACTCGTGCAACTACGCCTCTCCTTCGTTCTCAGTCCTCCGCTGCTGTCAGAGTCTCCTGTATCTGTTCCTTTGAAATTGAGCTATCTGAATAACGGTCATCATTGCTCTGTGATTAACTTTGTGTGATAGAGAAATTCTGTCAAGATAACTTCAATACAGAGGTACAGAACACGTTTTGCGAGAGCTCCGCCCCAAAAGGCTGGCCTTCCAGCGGAGCTTTAGAATGAATCATAGACCGCTTGAGTCATCGTAGAAAGCTGTTCAGGCATTCTAAAGCCCATAAATTGGGGAAACTATGGCAGGCCTGAGCTTATGGCGGAAGATGAAACGGAAATTTCTTGGCACTGAAAGTGGTCTCTACCCATTAATCTTCTGTTGTACGTACGCGATTGGATCACACACAAGCTATAGCACATACGCCACGTGAGCATCGCTAACTTAGCGACTGCCAGCACCTGGTACTGCAGCCAACCTGGTACACTGGCAGTCGGCTAACACTGGTTTTTTCCCAGCGGCCGACCCACCAAAACCAATGGTCACTCGAGCAACACCAATGGTCAGCCACCAGTGGTCAGTCTAACAAGACCGATGGCCAACTTTTGGTAGTCAGTCTAGTGACAGCAGCAAGACCCATGGGTGGCGGTTCTACGTATATCCTGTTGATCGTGCAGTGCCTTCAAGTGGTACTATCAACAGGGTTATCAATTCCGTATTAATCAATAGGCCAACATCTTCGAATCAATAGTACAGAATTGACTGCTCACATCCGAGATCACGACTCATGATTCATCAAAAAATCGTCAAAAAATTAGAAAAATCGGAAAAAATCAGGGAATCATCCTGAGTGGAGGATCGTGCTGTCTGGAGCTCGAGCTTCCTCTGGCTAGAGTCCCCTTGGGTATCTATGTTATCGGCGAACAGATAGAACAGCGACAGGATTGTGAGAAATTTGTTTACTGTCTTTCGAGCGGTTATCATCAATACCAAAAAGACCCTTCAGGGATACTTTAGGGTTCCGCCTAGACTCTAGACGATGGGTGTAGATGTGAGGATTGTCACGGTTGCAGTGCTCCTGATTGGCTTATTGGCGTCCCATGTTCATTCAGCGAACAATACTCACGGTCATCTCTGCAAATGGCACGAATGTGGCCAGGAGTGCATACCAGGAAGCAGGGAGGTCTTGGTGAATCGTTGCGGGAAGAATAGGACCCCCTGCTGCAACATTGGAGGGAAAAAGCTTTGTTGTCCGAATGACCTCGACGTCGACCCAGCCCTCGCTGCATCTGTTGCCGATGCTGGACACGAATAGAGATTAGCTTTATAGAGACTTCACACGCATGCATCATGCTCGAAACTAGATCAGTTTGCTAATTGCCTCTGATATAATATCCCGAAACGATTTTACATTCTAATGACAAACCTTGTATAGTTCTTGTTTACGAACTGCGCAACCTACCGAGAGCATCTGGGTCTGATGGTTCCTGGCGACTCGGTTAAAAATACGGACGAGTTCTGCGAAGACAGCCCCACCACGCTTTGTCTTGCTACCGGACGGAAAATTTCATTACAGTAATTTTTGAGGAATCGCAGATTTATATGCGGGTCCGTTTCTTTAGGAAGACTAAACCCAACCGAATAAAGTGGCGGACGTAACTAGTTGTAACGCACCGAACACAGTCCAGTACACGTTACATGATATCACATCAAAGGATGTCAAACATGGTATTCGATCCGGATTCCAGACTTCAGAGTCCAGATCGTCGCAGCTAGTGCTACCCGTAATTCGTTTCTAGCCTGCGGTTTCATAAACCTGAATTTTGCCAGATTGTGCTCGTTATACTGACATTACCCTTCTAGGCTTCCAGTCCGCAGGATCACCGACTTTACGGGAATGAGTCGCCGAGATGCACAGTGCGAATTGGCACGGTTGGCATTTGCTGTCGGTGACATTTTTTGGGAGAAGTTCGAAGAACCTCTCAACCATGTCCGACGAAATCGCGGTTGCTGCTGGTGAAGGGGAGGAAGGTACTACTCCCCTGGCAGGGAAGCCTGACAAGTGCGATCTGGGTCCTCGGGGGAAACGCTGCTCTGTGGTCCAGTTGCCAATTGATACCGGTGGAGCTCGAAAAGACTTGTAACTTCCTCTGGGTCAAAAAGTCTGCCGATCAAGACATTACAGCACGATATCGAGCAGAACGAGAACGAAGGAGACAAGAACGACACAGAAATGAAAACCGAGAATTTCAGAAGCATTGCGAAAGAATGCACAGAGGTCTCAAAAAGAACGAACCTGATGAGGGTCGACGAAAGTACAACTCTGGCGATTTATGTGATTCCAATTAGTCCTCCTCACAACTGGCTGTAAAGTTCGGTGGATTGTGTTGATTTTTTAAGTGGATTACCAAATTTCTGTGTCTAGATGAACAGCCCTCGAGCACCTTACAAAGAAAGCGAAACCTGATTATCTCCTGCACACTTGACTTGAAATTTCAAATTTGCATTTCTCTCTTGATTTCCGTTCCCCCTGTGCCTCACATGGCGGGATACCTGGTCTTGGTCGGTTTTCTTCATACCTATGATCGTCAAGGATATCGGGGATAGAGATTAGCCAGAAAGAAAGTCTGGAATTTCGGCCCTGTCACGAAGCAAAGTTTGCTTACAAACTACCCCGCGAAACTCGCGCATTTCTGGCGCGTTAGCCGTTTTTTTCGAAGTTTTCAAATCTTGTTTCACTCACGACCAATTTCAGTTGATCAAGGAAGTTTAAACTTCAAATCAACTGGTTTCGAGATAAACAGCCCGTCGTGAGAAGGACTAATGAATACTCCGATTACTTACTAAACGCAAAGACCGTTAGCCTTTCATGGCTTCTATCATAAAAGCCATTATGACAGGAATCCTATTCCCTATTCGCGAGACCAGAGGTTGCTTTCATAGTGCTTCCACGACACGCCTCTTTCGAACAGCAGAAATTCTTTTTGCGTTCGCTATCAGTCTATAGTTCACTTGAAAAATAAAAATCTTATTCGACTGCGGTGGGAGTCGACGTGTCTTTCTTCTTGTCTAACATGTATTGGCTCTTGAGCAAAGAATATCGAGCAGGGTCAGCTAGCGGTAGTTCTTTCAGATTCAGTTCAACGGGATCCACATCATCGGCCGGCTTGATGGAGTGCCACCATGACGTTCGCTTGTCATGGAGCTCCTCGGTACAAGCCTTGCCAGTCACACCCAAACTTTGTCGTTGTTCATGCATGAATGTGTCGAAGAGCTCAATGGCTGCGTCTTCGTTTTCTAAACCCGTATTGTGCTACAAAAACAAAGTAAAAATAATTTCCGGGGTGAATTTTCTGCGACCCGAACATGGTTGAATTTTCAATTCTGTATTTATACTTCGAGCTCAACGAACAATAGACCGGCACTCTGTCGGTTTGGGTCTTCCGGGTTCTTCACCATCCTCGTCTGGACAAGTATAGGCGAACATTCGTCGCCGGAGCCATCATCGCCATTAACCGACGATGTTACGCTGTCAATGTCGGTGGCGGCTTGTTTAACTTTAGGTACGGCTGACTTCTTGGCAGCTGACCGCTCGTCCGGCTTGTTATCCTTCTTCACGATGGTGGACTCCGACTCGAACATGTCAGCAACGGAGACTGCGGGAGCCGGGGGCGGTCGTGGTAGAACCACTTCCGGTTGGACTGGGCTCTCCCACATCAGCGCGGCGGCTTGTTCTTCTCGTTGCTTATTCACCGTCTCCATCAGCGTGAAGATACTCTCCGGAGTCAATCGATTTGCTAAATAACACACAATATGTTTTATACTCTAAGAGGAACTTTTCCGAAGATCGGCGAAAAAGTCTA